GACTAACTGAACGAATGCAGATGTGTATTCGTCATCCAAACATCACACACTATTTTAAATTTTGTAATATTTTAGTAATGGATGATATAACGAAAAATCAAAGTAAATAAAATCCTTGCACGCTATTGGAAACCCGAATAACTTATGAATTTTTTGTTTCAATCATTAAAATAGGCAGGTTTCCAATTCGACCAGATGTTAAATAAACATGAATTTCATGGTCGTTTCTTATATTTCACATTCCGTCCTACAACCTGTACTGACTACTCCTGGATAAGCATTACATATTGTAGCTTTATTTAGATTTTTTAATATAAAAATCATTGTTACCAATTTTTCCGTTTCACAAAAAATCTAGTTTTTCGGTTATAATATAGCTTAGATCACTTCTGGAATTTGTTCATGAACTTTCATTACAATAAATGCAGGCGTGACACAAAATAGTTCGAACAGAGAGACAGACGGACAAATTTTTACAAACGTTATTCATATCATATAAGCATACAAATAACTCTCTGAGTTCGATAAAAGGCAATTTCGTTATTATACACACTTCAATTTTTATTTAATATACAAACACTTAGTTTGGATTTTAACAAAGCATTTTGATTAGAAAGAGAATAGGAACACATTTGGACATATTTTCCGGTATCAGCTGATCTCCATCGCCTCATTTATCAGCAGAAAATAGCATCGCGTTCAGATGAGATTGATTTTTGGGAAATTTTTTTTTATTATTTTTCCGAACAATCTGAGTCATAAATTCACGTTGCACGGAAGAAGACACTTATTTTATAAGGCCACTGCTGAACATAGTTCTCTCTTATAGATTTCCATAAAATGCAGTCCTCAGTACAGGTGACTGTACTGAGGACTGTCACGTGAGTCCAGTCGAATAACACTGCGCTTTTTTATGTAGGATAAGGTGAAAAGCGAGCACACAGTCCACCTGATGGGAAGTGGTTGCTGTGGCCCATCATCAGACATCTACATCTATCATCGATTGCGAATCAACATGCAAATGCGTTGTCACCCGTAAGGACTAAGATGTAATGCTTCATTTCCAATTAAAAGGGTCTCCGGTTCTCTACGGGAGTGTAGACATACGAAACACAGCAGCATCAAGCTATTATTTTGCGCTGGTATTCTGTGAGAGCGTGGTCTTTCCTCGGTCGAGCCGACCCATTCATGCTACATCCATACTACTAATATAAATACAGCATGGTTCTACTACATATTTCTTGGGAGAACGTATCCGAGTACCGGAACAATCTTGTGTCTTAAGTCGAGTCTTTGCTAAATAGAGTCTCGGATTGGGAGCGACTAAATCTAGTCCAGTTTAACCCCCAGAAGACACAAGTTTGCGCGTTAACCGCTAAAAAAACCCTTTTGTCGTATCTCCTCAGTTTCGAGACACTCCCCTTGTTACCTCAGCTAGTATCGGAATCCTTGGCGTCGACATATTGAGTGACGTGCAGTTTCGTGGTCACTTGGAAGAGAAGGCCAAATTGGCTTCTAAAAAGCTTGGCATGCTCAGCAGAGTGGGACATTTTTTCATGCCAGCACAGCGGCTGCAACTTTACAAGGCGCAGGTTAGGCCGCATATGGAATACTGTTCCCATCTCTGAGCTGGGACTCCCCAGTACCAGCTCCTTCCACTTGACCGCATCCAGCGCAGAGCGGCTGAAATCGTCGACGACCGAGTGCTTTCCGATCGGCTCGATTCACTGGCGCTGCGAAGTGATGTTGCATCTCTTTGTATATTTTTTTCGCATATACCATGGGGAGTGCTCTGAGGAATTGTTCGGATTAATCCCAGCAGCCAAATTTCATGAACGCACTACGCGGCAAACGTCCCGATACCATCCACACCATCTGGATGCTTGGCGGTCCACCACTGTACGTTTCAAAAGCAGTTTTCTTCCGCGTACAACCTCTATGTTGAATAGTTTACCACCGGGGATTTTTCCGGACCGATACGACCTGAGGACATTCAAGAAAAGAGCTTACTCCTTTCTAAATGGCCGGCAACGCACCTGCAATTCCCCTGGTATTGCGGTTGATCATGGGCGGCGGTAGTCACTTAACATCAGGTGAGCCGCATGCTCGTTTCTTATATTAAAAAAAGACATTAGACCCGGTTGCGATGTAAAAAGCTATAAGAAACGAAGAAATGGGAACTTAAGAATATTTGTACGGGATTAATGAACAATGAAAAATAATGAATAATGAATAAACTTTCCCTTAGTCGCATTTGATTGTTTCTTGAGTCAAATTTAAATAAAACTTAAATTAATCTAAGAGTAATTGCATTTCATTGAGACAAGGCCACTTTACCTAACCTGTGTAGGTAAAGTGGTCAATTTCCCATTTCGGCTTTAAACTTAAAAACATTATATAATGTCTTCCAACATACAGCTACAAGTTCGATCCACAGATCTCTTAACTCTTTTGTGCTCTATCCACCAGATGAGACGGAGGTAGAATCTACTTTGTTAAGTCTTAAAAATGATTGTGTTATTGAGTGGGTTCTTTTACTCTACCGTGATTTTTAAAATGGTAAAATATATTATAATTATATTACCGCTTACTAACCACTTTAAAATTTGTTTTGAACAAGGATGCTTTCCAAAGGTGTTCAAAAGGTTTCTCATTACATCTGTTTACAAAATGGAGTTCGAGACAGTGTCAGAAACTACAAACTTGTCTCTGTGCGTCCAGCTCTTTAATTGACTGTTGCATAACCGTTTGGTAAAATTCTTGACCAAATACAATATTTTATCAAGCACACAATTCGGTTTCAGAACGGGTATTAGCACAGAAGACGCGGTAAAAAGCTTGACTGAATTTGTAGCCAATGAGTTAGATCAACAAACAATATTTGAGGGTTTTTTTGTGATTTAGCCAAAGCTTTTCACACCATTTTGATTGCTATTTTTATTCACAAATTGGAAAATATCGGAATTAGAAATTCGGTTCTCTCTATTTTTAAAAGCTTCTTATGTCACCGAGTGCAGAAAGTTAAGATTAAAAATTCCGTCAGTTCTGATGCTAGTTTTACTTTTGGTGTCCCTCAAGGAAGTATCCTAGGGCAATTCTCTCTTTAATATATATATATATATATATATATATATATATATATATATATATATATATATATATATATTATATATATATATGACCTTTGTCGTATGCCATTAATACATGGCAAACTATTCACTTATGCCAATGACATGCATATCATATTTTATGGAGAGGCTTGGGTTGACGTTCATGTGACTGCTGAAAGGGGTCTCCAGTGTGTGGCTTAATGGTTTGAGGACAGTTTACTTACACTAAACGTATCTGAATCGTCAAATCCCGAAGGTCGCATGCAATCGCACCCACCCACAGCAGTTTAAACCATTAAAACTTATATTTAGAGACTACATTGTTCTGCCCTTTTCGACGACCCTTTGTCATGTCCTATTAAAAATACTTAAATTCGCAAAAAAAAAACTTGTGAGTCACTCATGGACAAAAAAACTATCCTATCTCTCAAGTTGGACTAAACTGCACACGGTGTAGGAGTCCATCGCGGACAAATAACGTGACACGTGATTTATATATATATCATCATCATCATCATCATCATCACAGCCATTCACAAGTCCACTGCTGAACATAGGCCTCCCCTAAGTAATGCCACAAAGCACGGTCCTGAGCCACCTGCATCCATCGACTTCCTGCATATCTTACCAGGTCGTCACTCCATCTAGTGGGGGGCGCCCTACACTACGCCTACCGGTACGAGGCTGCCACTCGAGAACCTTTCTTCCCCATCGGTTATCGGTTTTTCGAGCTATATGGCCGGCCCATTGCCACTTCAGCTTACTAATCCGTTGGGCTATGTCGGTCACTCATAGATTTATATATATATATATATATATATATATATATATATATATATATATATATATATATATATATAACCTGCTAAATCACTTGAACTAAACAAAACAATAATAAAGTTGATTTATTTACAATATTTTATTGTAAAAACTATAAATAAACCAAAAAATAACTAAACCTCCTCTTTTATATGCGATTTTGTGACTTAGTAGGTTTTTGTATGTATTCTGAATATATTGTGATGGACTTAGCAGGGTTTTTGGGTAATAAAAAATAAATGTAATTGGTGTAATTAAGAAATGCACTTTAAATTCAAATAAACTTTAATAAAACAAAACAATCATCTAAGTAACATTGCAACTCAAAAAAAAAATCTATTTAACAATTCAATACTTTGTGTTGATTTTTCCCATTACTTAATAAGAGAGGTAGTTAATACATAACTAGGAACGTTAAAATATTATCCACTGTAATTTTTCAGTCATGGGGTAAATTGTTATAGTAAAAACGGTAATCCTCAGGAAGTGATCTTTTTAAATATTGCAGATCTTCAAACTTTCTGGCAGTAATCTTTCTTCTAGTTGCATGGAGATTTCGAAGCTGAGAAAACGGCAAGGGAACAACATTCGACGAATTGATTGTTTGCCATTCATCAGGGAATCTCAATTTGATATATATTTCACCACTTGGTGTGTAGTGCAGAGCTCGTATATCAGTCATTTTAGCGTCACCTATGCCACGACCAGGACGAATGCTTTTAAAGAACTGAACGTCATTAAAAATTTTGAAAAACTTATGACTAAGGTAGGTTACGTTATAAGGTTTTGGTTTTTTTCTAGCTGACCTACAGACTCCAACACATTCTGCAGGAACATTGATATCTTTGTTCTTAAGTGCTCGTTCGATACTGGAATGCATACCATCAGCCTCCATTTGAGTATGCCCAACCTCGAGAAATTTTTGTTCAATGATTATGTTGTGGTTCATAGCCGTGGACAACAAAGCATTTGACATCACACAGTTCCTATTCTGTTAAGTACAACCATCACTGTAAAAATTACTGTAAGTACTTCTGCTGACCTACCTTGTGATAAAATCCTTTTTTCAATTTAATCAACCCATACACTTGCAAACTCTTCAGAATTTAGTCCACCTTCAGTTTCGTTCCATAAGTAACAAAATCCGTCTCTGTTTTTTACATTAAAGAATGTCAAATTATGTACTTGGAGTTTTGTTCTGTAATACAAACTACTTATTTTTGACTTTGGTGCCATCATAACTGCTTGCATGTCAACTGTGAACACAATCTTTCCTTCATTCTTGTCTTTGTCATTTTCTATTCTAGCTTCTTCTTTTTTCTGCTGATGTTCTGAATATTCTTCTGCCGCTAAATTTCCAACTTTGAACAAAGAGAATTTCTCGCATTGATCCTTTCTTGGGAAATATAATCCTAGATTTTTGGCGTCGAAGACTTCGTAAATAGTTGCTATAGATAGAGGCATCACATCACGACTTTTACACCAATCGTCTCGGTAGAATCTGTAAAGAGATTGTTTTGTTGTCCATTCTGGTAACAAATATTTTTTTCTGAGTTTTGGCGCGACAGTAGTGTGATTCTATAATTTTTTTTTTTTTTTTTTTAATTTATTTAGAGAACCACAAACAAGTTTACAATATGTCTTATGTTAATGCTTATGTTCTATTACAATTTATTACTTATTATAAACTCAACGACGATGGTCACACATTGAGTATAAAAAAAAATAAGATAATATGTGAGGGACCTAGTTTTGTAAAAGAAAAGTATTTTAATTTCTGTAATATTTTTTGACATATATTAGAGGTTAGAGTTTAGTGTGTTAGCATATATGCGCTCGCATGCGATCGCGCACGCGTCATATAGTCATTGGTTAGATGATTTATAATTAGTATTAGGTAGTTTAGGTCTTTAAAGAGATATTAAGTGTTTAACAGCAAGTTTACTAGCTGTCTGTTATAGGATCTGGCACTGCAAGTAAATAAATCTACAGAATTAAATTTTTTGTTGTATGTGTCAACCATACGATGAAGGGGTGATCTGATACCAGCGTTTGTCCGAGATCTTGGCACAGCAAAGAGTGAGTGAGGACGCAAAGAACGCATACGTGCCCGAGATGGTACGGAGTAACTAATGCGATTAATTATATCTGCGCAATCATACTTGTTATTGCACAGATCATAAAGTAATCTTGCCTCAAGTTGAGTGCGCCTAGACCTTAAGTCTAAGAGCTTATATTTAGTTAAAAGGAGCACATATGATAAACGCTCACGGTGATATTTATAATTAATGCGACGCAAGAACTTTTTTTGTACCATTTCTATGCTATGATTATATTTATTATAAAGTGGGTTCCATACAGGCGCTCCGTACTCCAATTGTGGCCTGACCAAAGATTTAAAAAGATAGATTAAAGTGAAGGGGTTTCTAAATTCAGTGGAAGAACGCATAACAAGTCCGTACATTTTAAAAGCTTTACTAATTATGTTTTGTATATGAATATCAAAATGTAATTTGTTATCAAAAGTCACTCCCAAATCCCTTATATTATTCACCCTTACAATATCTGTACCGTTAAGAGAATAGTTAAAGTAGCTTATATTCCGTTTTTTTTGTGAAAGTGATTACTTTACATTTATTTAAATTGAGTCTAAAATTATTACGAGCACAGTAATTGTGAAATCTATCAAGGTCTTCTTGAAGCAAATAGTGATCCTCTATGCTATCGATGCATTGGTATATTTTGAGATCATCAGCATATAAAAGGAACCGACTATTTTTAAAGCAATTTTTAACATCATTTATGAAGATCACAAATAAGAGAGGACCCAAAATGGAGCCCTGTGGGACGCCAGAAGTGACATTTGTAACATCTGACTCCAAACCTTTAATTACAACCCTCTGCGTTCTATTAGAGACGTAAGATTTGAACCAACGCCAGAGATTGCCGCGTATACCATTGAAAGCAATCTTCTCCAATAGTATTTTATGATCAACAGTGTCAAATGCTTTCCGGAAATCAGTATAAATACTGTCAGTTTGTGTATTGGTGTCAAGCGCACTAAACAAATCTGATGTATAAGTGATAAGATTAGTTATAGTAGATCGCCGTTTAACAAAACCGTGTTGTTCATCTAAGATAACATTATGCAATAGGGGGTAAATAGCATCATGCACCAAACGCTCAAAAACTTTGGAAAGAATGGGCAGTATTGATATTGGTCTATAATTTATAACGTCACTTTTTGATCCATCCTTGAAAACTGGGACTATTCTTGCACTTTTCCAAATGTCAGGAAATGTTCCGTCAGATAAGCATTTATTGTAAAGATAGCACAAAGGAAGATCGATTACAGATGCAGTTACCTTGAAGAAAACACCTGGTATATTATCCACCCCAGCGCCCTTCGATACATCTAACATTTGCAGGGCTTTACGTACCTGAGATCTAGTCACTTTGATGTTATGAATAGTAAAGTCAGAGGTATTTTCAAATGGTATGCAAATATCATCAATATCGAAATCATGTGGTACAGATGATCGTTGAAACACGGATTGAAAGAATTTGCTAAATAGATCACAGGACTCTTTTGGACTATGAGCAATAGAACCTTTATATTGTACACTACTTGGGATCTCTGAAAGGTTACGGCGTTGAGATATGAACTTCCAAAAGTATTTAATGTTATATTTTAAGCTATTTTCAACCTTCGCCATGTAAGTTTTGTAGCATTTTTCTGATACTGTTTTAAACTTTTTTCTATATATTGAGAATATATTATAATTTGAATTGTTGTTATATTTTTTCATTTTAACCCAAGCTCGATTTTTTTTCTTGAATATATTTATTAATTCAGGAGTAAACCAGGCAGGATACGAAGAAGCCCTAATATACTTTTTAGGTACATGTAAATTAATAATACTGTAAATTTTTTCATAAAATAATGAAACTGCTTCCTCAGCACTTTTATTTAAAAATAAGACATCCCAATCAATATTCACTAATTTTTGCATAATTTCATTATAGTCTGCGTATCTATAACAGTAGTTGAGATATGGTTTAAGCCGGATGTATCCATGATTTGCATCATACGCAACCGATACACAAAAAGGTGGGTGATGTTTATCGGCAGGAACTAATGCATTTGATATCGGTGACAACTCACAGTCCGTTTTATTAGTGAAAAAAAGATCCAAAATACGGCCATTGTCGTTTCTTAAGGAGTTTATTTGAGAGCAATTTAATACCGCCATAAAATTATTTATTTGTATGTGAGATTGGTTAAGATCGCTGATACAAGGATATTGCCCATAGGATTTATTATTCATCCAAACTAAGTCAGGTAAATTAAAATCCCCAACAATAAAATAATCTGTTACACTAGTATCCACGTCAATCAACTTATTTTGTAACATATTTAAGTAACTAAGATAAACGTAATGGCATTGTTTTGGCGGAATGTAAACTGCACCTATAAATAAACACTTTTTCGCAAATTTAAATTCGATGAGTATTTGGTCTATAACGGGTGGGAGCGGGGAGGATGTCATAGTGGCAGGTGCGCAGCCGGCAGAGCACAGTGTGCGCTGGATCGCGATCAACACGCCACCGCCGTCACGGCGGCCGCTTCCCTCTCGATCTCGATCCGCACGAAATACCTTATACCTATTGTCTATGTATTTTCGTTATCGGTTATGTCTGCATGCAGCCACGTTTCAGTTAGTATTATTATGTCGTATGATTGAGTAAGTATATTCATAAAAAGTGTATGTAATTTGGTTCTAAGGCCACGACAATTCTGGTAATAGATAGAAATATGCTTATCCATTTTTAAATATAACAATATTATGTGTTGTTAGTAAAAGGTAGTTAAAATTATAAAAAAGACTACTTAGATTGTGGTTATTATAGGTTATTGCATACCAGAATCGCCTTACTTTAGTAATATAAATAAATTTAAATAGTAACCAGTAAAAAATATATTTTATTTCTCCTACTTGATACATATCTGTATATAACAAGCTTAATTTTAGTAAACATGCACAAATAGTATAATCGCCCGATAGTCCCATGGTTGAACATTCATTATTTATATAGGTATAACTAAGACAAAACAACATCAGTAGAAAAGATAACTTAGGATTTAATTTTCTTGAGATCTTGCTCGCTTCGTACAGCAAAAATAGGAGATGTCTCAGTTTGACGCACCAAAACAGTACCGTGCTTAATCCATGTGAATTTATAATTGTGCTTAGTGGCTTGTTGACGGCACAATCGAAATAATTGCTTGTTTTTAGCTGTAAGATGTTCGTTTACGTACACATTATGTATAGTACCAGGTACCGCCAGCTGGTCTGATTTTAAACCTTTATTTGCCCGTGCTGCCGTGATGAAGTTGTCGCGGATTATTTTCGTTGTAAATTTTATAATAACATTTTTTTGGACGCGAACACTTTTTATCGAAATGTGGCACTCTATGGGCTGATACAATGTCCGATTTGCTGACAGGGTGTTTGATGACACAACCAATCTTTTCAATAATAGATAGAAGGTTTTCATCACGTCGTTCTGGTAAGTTAGCAATCTCGACGTTATAAAGCCGCGCCTGTTGCTCCATTGCATCAATTTTATCTTGTAATAGGTTAATCTGGCTGGTTACATCATCGTTCGATCTCAGCTGGCTTTCTACCTGTGTCAGACGCGTTTCAATACTATCCTGCCTTTCCATCGTATAAGATAAGGATTTGTCGATTGTATCCAATCTATCTCCTAATTCTTTAAAGGAGTTACTTATAGTCGCTGATATTTTCTTTAGCTCTCTATCAATAACTGTATCGATTGAATTTCTGATACTTTCGGCAATGGTGATGTCCAATTGTAATTTCCATGAGCTGAGCTGATCATTAATTTTTTGCTCAACGAACTCTAGTACCGCCTTAACATTTTTATCATCAGGCTGCTTACGTTTTCGGAGACTCACAAAAGTATTATCATCAGCGCCACACGTTTCGGGTAGTTCTGGATTTGACGAATATTTTAGCTTCTGTGACGGAGGTGTTGTTAGTGGCGGAGTACGCTGCATCGTATTAGTTCGTGTGTATGACAAAAACAAATAATCTAATCTGTCCTTTCTTAGCGGGGGTGAAGTATGCGCGCCCCGCTGCAACGAGTCCAAGAAGCGATGCCAAAATAGGACAGAGAAAGTGATCCGAGTGAACAAGCGATATGCCCACAATACGTCACTGTTACAGCAACACACACTATTTTCACACTTACACGCAAGACAATAAAGTATAAATTACAATGTTCTATAATGTTAAATTTTGCATTAAATTTTTCACACGTCCTCTCTATATGGGTCCCGCACGACGAAAAAAGATATATAATAGGCAATGAATCGAAAAACTGTCCATTTCTTGGCGTTCTTTGGCAAAAGGCTTAGATGAAGAAACTTTGGTTTCGTCGTCGTTCCTTCTTTGTCGAGTTCTAGTGGCATTATTTAGTTCTGTGCCATTTAATTGCTTGTTTTTCCAACTAAGTACAGTCCACCTACCTATACCAAGAGTGTTGAGAAACATTTTCCTGCAGACTTTGAATCGCTCGTCTTGTTATTTTAAATAGTATACTAAAGATTGACTTCTTCTAGATTCTTTATTTTCTTTCCTTCCTCGTGGTCTTTTTATTGGCAGTGATGTTACAAGACTATCGACGTAAACTTTTTTCTCCTGTCAACTCATGCTCCAAAATCCTTTAAATATTTCTTTCCTGTCTTCCTCTGTAAAACTTGAACACTTAATAGTCCCATGTTCAGTTTGTTTACATTTACACCTTTGTTTTATTATTCGTGGTTCTTTCGGAATTTCATAATTCCATGTTTCTTCCTTTTTTCTGCCATAATATTTTGTGATTATTTTAACTTTCTACTTTTTTCTGCAAACCAATTAGACTTTTGTATTTGTGCTCTTTTCTTTCGTTTTTTACTTTTATCTGGATAATCGCTATCAGACATAGAGTCAGAATGAATATCATAAGGAACTAAGTCTTCGTGGTTGCTTCCATCTTCTATATTATTCGCACCATCTTGAACATAGGTTTCATGTAAATTCATACTGCCAATTTCATGACTTAATTCTTGAACGTTACTCTCAGCAAATGACAGGTTCGGAGAAATCGAAACTCTGTCATCATTGATTTCTTTGTCTATATTATTATGGCTAGTAACAGATGTGGAAGGGGTGATGCTACTATAGTTAATAGTCTCAAGTAAGGTAGGTTCAGTCATTTCAATAACAATGGGTTCCTCTGTTGCTTTAGTTATAGATACAATTTGACAATTTTCAGGTAAGGTAGGTAATTCCAGAGTCTCAGATAAGTAAATATTAAGATATTCAAATTCTACATTTTCAACCTCTGATAATAATACACAGATAAATATAAAAAAATTCATTGTAAGGAGATTGCTCAGGTGATAAATTTTGACATGTATTTTCTGCGTTATTTTCGTTGAGTAAGTTAATAATCTTTTTAGCTCGACAAAGCTGATCTGTGACAAGAAAGAAAGAAAGAAAGAAAGAAACAGATTTTATTTGGCACATGCAACACACTCAAGTGGATTACATAAAACACATAACATTTAAGTAGTCATACAAACAAAAACCAAAAAAAAAAAAAAAAAAAAAAAAATTATACATAGAAATCATGAAACAGGACATTCACTCCTTGTTTATAGATATAGTAAAACAAAAAAAAAAAAACAAAAAAAGCAAACAATAACATAAAAAAGAAAAAAAATAATAATAAAGAAGTAGAGAATAAGGTGTATTACAAAGATAATCCACCCGTTAATGCTGCTCTGCTCCAAAAAGGAAAGCCACTCAGGATATGTTGTAATGTATCAGAAGTACAACACTCCAACCCTGATTTTCTGTGCAGAGGGCAGTTTTGTTGTGTTAAACCAAATATAATAACAAAAATTTATTTTTTGTAATATTGTCACAATTCTTATAAAATATTCTTAATACTGTAAGAGGTTGCATTGAAATTCACTCAGGAATGTAATGAAGTTTAAGCTACAAACAAATACACAAACCAGCTGCAGTACACCGCTTAATTACATAATTTCAATAAATAATATATACATACTCAAACACACACACATATATATATATATATATATATATACACAAACCACTGCAGTATACCGCTTAATTACATAATTTCAATAAATAATATATACATACTCAAACACACACACATATATATATATATATATATATATATATATATATATATATATATATATATATATATATATATATATATATATATATATATATATATATATATATATATATATATATATGTGTGTGTTTGAGTATGTATATATTATTTATTGAAATTATGTAATTAAGCGGTGTACTGCAGCTGGTTTGTGTATTTGTTTGTAGCTTAAACTTCATTACATTCCTGAGTGAATTTCAATGCAACCTCTTACAGTATTAAGAATATTTTATAAGAATTGTGACAATATTACAAAAAATAAATTTTTGTTATTATATTTGGTTTAACACAACAAAACTGCCCTCTGCACAGAAAATCAGGGTTGGAGTGTTGTACTTCTGATACATTACAACATATCCTGAGTGGCTTTCCTTTTTGGAGCAGAGCAGCATTAACGGGTGGATTATATATATATATATATATATATATATATATATATATATATATATATATATGTGTGTGTGTTTGAGTATGTATATATTATTTATTGAAATTATGTAATTAAGCGGTGTACTGCAGCTGGTTTGTGTATTTGTTTGTAGCTTAAACTTCATTACATTCCTGAGTGAATTTCAATGCAACCTCTTACAGTATTAAGAATATTTTATAAGAATTGTGACAATATTACAAAAAAATAAATTTTTGTTATTATATTTGGTTTAACACAACAAAACTGCCCTCTGCACAGAAAATCAGGGTTGGAGTGTTGTACTTCTGATACATTACAACATATCCTGAGTGGCTTTCCTTTTTGGAGCAGAGCAGCATTAACGGGTGGATTATCTTTGTAATACACCTTATTCTCTACTTCTTTATTATTATTTTTTTTCTTTTTTATGTTATTGTTTGCTTTTTTGTTTTTTTTTTTTTGTTTTACTATATCTATAAACAAGGAGTGAATGTCCTGTTTCATGATTTCTATGTATAATTTTTTTGTTTTTTTTTTTTTTTTGGTTTTTGTTTGTATGACTACTTAAATGTTATGTGTTTTATGTAATCCACTTGAGTGTGTTGCATGTGCCAAATAAAATCTGTTTCTTTCTTTCTTTCTTTCTTTCTTGTCACAGATCAGCTTTGGCGAGCTAAAAAGATTATTAACTTACTCAACGAAAATAACGCAGAAAATACATGTCAAAATTTATCACCTGAGCAATCTCCTTACAATGAATTTTTTTATATTTATCTGTGTATTATTATCAGAGGTTGAAAATGTAGAATTTGAATATCTTAATATTTACTTATCTGAGACTCTGGAATTACCTACCTTACCTGAAAATTGTCAAATTGTACCTATAACTAAAGCAACAGAGGAACCCATTGTTATTGAAATGACTGAACCTACCTTACTTGAGACTATTAACTATAGTAGCATCACCCCTTCCACATCTGTTACTAGCCATAATAATATAGACAAAGAAATCAATGATGACAGAGTTTCGATTTCTCCGAACCTGTCATTTGCTGAGAGTAACGTTCAAGAATTAAGTCATGAAATTGGCAGTATGAATTTACATGAAATCTATGTTCAAGATGGTGCGAATAATATAGAAGATGGAAGCAACCACGAAGACTTAGTTCCTTATGATATTCATTCTGACTCTATGTCTGATAGCGATTATCCAGATAAAAGTAAAAAACGAAAGAAAAGAGCACAAATACAAAAGTCTAATTGGTTTGCAGAAAAAAATAGAAAGTTAAAATAATCACAAAATATTATGACAGAAAAAAGGAAGAAACATGGAATTATGAAATTCCGAAAGAACCACGAATAATAAAACAAAGGTGTAAATGTAAACAAACTGAACATGGGACTATTAAGTGTTCAAGTTTTACAGAGGAAGACTGGAAAGAAATATTTAAAGGATTTTGGAGCATGAGTTGACAGGAGAAAAAAGTTTACGTCGATAGTCTTGTAACATCACTGCCAATAAAAAGACCACGAGGAAGGAAAGAAAATAAAGAATCTAGAAGAAGTCAATCTTTAGTATACTATTTAAAATAACAAGACGAGCGATTCAAAGTCTGCAGGAAAATGTTTCTCAACACTCTTGGTATAGGTAGGTGGACTGTACTTAGTTGGAAAAACAAGCAATTAAATGGCACAGAACTAAATAATTCCACTAGAACTCGACAAAGAAGGAACGACGATGAAACCAAAGTTTCTTCATCTAAGCCTTTTTGCCAAAGAACGCCAAGAAATGGACAGTTTTTCGATTCATTGCCTATTATATATCTTTTTCGTCGTGCGGGACCCATATAGAGAGGACGTGTGAAAAATTTAATGCAAAATTTAACATTATAGAACATTGTAATTTATACTTTATTGTCTTGCGTGTAAGTGTGAAAATAGTGTGTGTTGCTGTAACAGTGACGTATTGTGGGCATATCGCTTGTTCACTCGGATCACTTTCTCTGTCCTATTTTGGCATCGCTTCTTGGACTCGTTGCAGCGGGGCGCGCATACTTCACCCCCGCTAAGAAAGGACAGATTAGATTATTTGTTTTTGTCATACACACGAACTAATACGATGCAGCGTACTCCGCCACTAACAACACCTCCGTCACAGAAGCTAAAATATTCGTCAAATCCAGAACTACCCGAAACGTGTGGCGCTGATGATAATACTTTTGTGAGTCTCCGAAAACGTAAGCAGCCTGATGATAAAATTGTTAAGGCGGTACTAGAGTTCGTTGAGCAAAAAATTAATGATCAGCTCAGCTCATGGAAATTACAATTGGACATCACCATTGCCGAAAGTATCAGAAATTCAATCGATACAGTTATTGATAGAGAGCTAAAGAAAATATCAGCGACTATAAGTAACTCCTTTAAAGAATTAGGAGATAGATTGGATACAATCGACAAATCCTTATCTTATACGATGGAAAGGCAGGATAGTATTGAAACGCGTCTGACACAGGTAGAAAGCCAGCTGAGATCGAACGATGATGTAACCAGCCAGATTAACCTATTACAAGATAAAATTGATGCAATGGAGCAACAGGCGCGGCTTTATAACGTCGAGATTGCTAACTTACCAGAACGACGTGATGAAAACCTTCTATCTATTATTGAAAAGATTGGTTGTGTCATCAAACACCCTGTCAGCAAATCGGACATTGTATCAGCCCATAGAGTGCCACATTTCGATAAAAAGTGTTCGCGTCCAAAAAATGTTATTATAAAATTTACAACGAAAATAATCCGCGACAACTTCATCACGGCAGCACGGGCAAATAAAGGTTTAAAATCAGACCAGCTGGCGGTACCTGGTACTATACATAATGTGTACGTAAACGAACATCTTACAGCTAAAAACAAGCAATTATTTCGATTGTGCCGTCAACAAGCCACTAAGCACAATTATAAATTCACATGGATTAAGCACGGTACTGTTTTGGTGCGTCAAACTGAGACATCTCCTATTTTTGCTGTACGAAGCGAGCAAGATCTCAAGAAAATTAAATCCTAAGTTATCTTTTCTACTGATGTTGTTTTGTCTTAGTTATACCTATATAAATAATGAATGTTCAACCATGGGACTATCGGGCGATTATACTATTTGTGCATGTTTACTAAAATTAAGCTTGTTATATACAGATATGTATCAAGTAGGAGAAATAAAATATATTTTTTACTGGTTACTATTTAAATTTATTTATATTACTAAAGTAAGGCGATTCTGGTATGCAATAACCTATAATAACCACAATCTAAGTAGTCTTTTTTATAATTTTAACTACCTTTTACTAACAACACATAATATTGTTATATTTAAAAATGGATAAGCATATTTCTATCTATTACCAGAATTGTCGTGGCCTTAGAACCAAATTACATACACTTTTTATGAATATACTTACTCAATCATACGACATAATAATACTAACTGAAACGTGGCTGCATGCAGACATAACCGATAACGAATACATAGACAATAGGTATAAGGTATTTCGTGCGGATCGAGATCGAGAGGGAAGCGGCCGCCGTGACGGCGGTGGCGTGTTGATCGCGATCCAGCGCACACTGTGCTCTGCCGGCTGCGCACCTGCCACTATGACATCCTCCCCCGCTCCCACCCGTTATAGACCAAATACTCATCGAATTTAAATTTGCGAAAAAGTGTTTATTTATAGGTGCAGTTTACATTCCGCCAAAACAATGCCATTACGTTTATCTTAGTTACTTAAATATGTTACAAAATAAGTTGATTGACGTGGATACTAGTGTAACAGATTATTTTATTGTTGGGGATTTTAATTTACCTGACTTAGTTTGAATGAGTAATGAATCCTATGGGCAATATCCTTGTGTCAGCGATCTTAACCAATCTTACATACAAATAAATAATTTTATGGCGGTATTCAATTGCTCTCAAATAAACTCCTTAAGAAACGACAATGGCCGTATTTTGGATCTTTTTTTTCACTAATAAAACGGACTGTGAGTTGTCACCGATATCAAATGCATTAGTTCCTGCCGATAAACATCACCCACCTTTTTGTGTATCGGTTGCGTATGATGCAAATCATGGATACATCCGGCTTAAACCATATCTCAACTACTGTTATAGATACGCAGACTATAATGAAATTATGCAAAAATTAGTGAATATTGATTGGGATGTCTTATTTTTAAATAAAAGTGCTGAGGAAGCAGTTTCATTATTTTATTTTTTTTATGATAATTTCATGACTTAATTCTTGAACGTTACTCTCAGCAAATGACAGGTTCGGAGAAATCGAAACTCTGTCATCATTGATTTCTTTGTCTATATTATTATGGCTAGTAACAGATGTGGAAGGGGTGATGCTACTATAGTTAATAGTCTCAAGTAAGGTAGGTTCAGTCATTTCAATAACAATGGGTTCCTCTATTGCTTTAGTTATAGGTACAATTTGACAATTTTCAGGTAAGGTAGGTAATTCCAGAGTCTCAGATAAGTAAATATTAAGATATTCAAATTCTACATTTTCAACCTCTGATAATAATACACAGATAAATATAAAAAAATTCATTGTAAGGAGATTGCTCAGGTGATAAATTTTGACATGTATTTTCTGCGTTATTTTCGTTGAGTAAGTTAATAATCTTTTTAGCTCGCCAAAGCTGATCTGTGACAAGAAAGAAAGAAAGAAAGAAAGAAAGAAACAGATTTTATTTGGCACATGCAACACACTCAAGTGGATTACATAAAACACATAACATTTAAGTAGTCATACAAACAAAAACCAAAAAAAAAAAAAAACAAAAAAATTATACATAGAAATCATGAAACAGGACATTCACTCCTTGTTTATAGATATAGTAAAACAAAAAAAAAAAAAAACAAAAAAGCAAACAATAACATAAAAAAGAAAAAAAATAATAATAAAGAAGTAGAGAATAAGGTGTATTACAAAGATAATCCACCCGTTAATGCTGCTCTGCTCCAAAAAGGAAAGCCACTCAGGATATGTTGTAATGTATCAGAAGTACAACACTCCAACCCTGATTTTCTGTGCAGAGGGCAGTTTTGTTGTGTTAAACCAAATATAATAACAAAAATTTATTTTTTGTAATATTGTCACAATTCTTATAAAATATTCTTAATACTGTAAGAGGTTGCATTGAAATTCACTCAGGAATGTAATGAAGTTTAAGCTACAAACAAATACACAAACCAGCTGCAGTACACCGCTTAATTACATAATTTCAATAAATAATATATACATACTCAAACACACACACATATATATATATATATATATATATATATATATATATATATATATGTATGTTGTACATATATATATATAAACAAGCACACATACATACACATATACACGCTCATACATTATTTATAAAATTATATACTATCAAAATATCTGCACTACTTAACTTTGAGATTGCTGATCTAAGAGGAACAATTTAAATTTTTGACGGAAGATATGTATCGATTGCATATTACGGAACGGCGGCGGCAAGTTGTTCCAATACTTGGTTGCTGCACAAGCAGTGGTCAATATTTTTTAAATAATAATTTTGCTAATAAATTGTACTAAAAGGCACTGAAAACATTTAAAGTAGATTATACAAGTTAACTGCTAAGTCGCAAAATTGTTCTAACCCATTTGAAAAAAAACTTGCTAACTCCCATAATAACGAAATGTCTAATGTTATGAATTTTATAATGATAATTTTACTTAGTTTCCATAAATCCCACAAGACTTATAAAACTGAATTAAGTTAATAGGTATTAACTTTCCACAATAACTATCACTAAAATTAATGTTCCATTAACACGAAAATTATCAGCTAAATCCCAAAATGGTTCAGTCTTTAGAAAAAAAAATCTGCTAACTCCCATAATAACGAACGTCTAATGTTATGAATTTAAAACGATAACGTTTTATTTAGTTTTCAATAAATTCCAAAAGAAATAAAACTAAATTAGGATGATAAGTATTACCTTTGCACAATAACTATTATAAAATATTCCAACAATACAGTATACACATCCAAACGAAATATTTTTGTAGTAGAACAGTGAGCTGGTGGCAGACACTATACAAAATGGCGGCGACGTTGGAGTTATCCGCGAAATTTGTATTGTTTGGATTTAGCAGTTTTACTCATAGCAGATTTTCCGACAGTCCATACTTCCACATCCATACTAATATTATAAATGCGAAAGTGTGTTTGTTTGTTTGTATGTTTGTTTGTCCTTCTTTCACGTCGCAACAGAGCATCGGCATGGCATGATTTTTTGTATGGGGATAGTTCGATGGCTGTAGAGTGACATAGGTTACTTTTTTCCGCGGAAAAACATCTCATTCCCGTGGGAAAATAGAATATGTTGCAAAAGTTTGTCCTTTTTTCACGTCGCAACAGAGCGTCGGCATGGCATGAGTTTTGGTATGGGGATAGGTCGGTGGCTGTAGAGTGACATAGGCTACTTTTTTTCAGCGGAAAAACATACCATTCCCGTGGGAAAATCGAATATGTTACAAAATTAAATTCAGCTAGGTGGCGCCACCGTGATTCTACAAGACGGACGCCGGTACGTTGGACGAACACAAAAGGTCAGAATATCTGGATTAGTATGTTTTTACCAAAATTAAGATAAAAAATGTATGGATCTGTATTTATCCACGCAGGACCGGGAAGAGAGCGATAAAAAAACATAAAATTCACTAGCTTATTTTCTTCAAACGTTTTGGTACATTGTAATTCACAGAATAGGCGATAACCTCGCAGACGATATTAAGTAATCCGTTGATGCTCTGCCAACCCCGCAAGAGTTACAGGCGTGATTATAAGTATGGATCAGGAATACTATCACCACCTGTCACGCTTTCACCCTTAACTACTACATAACTGTGGTAGAAACAGTTCTTAGTAAGCCTTATTAATAAGCCTTAGTAATATTTATTGAACGGAAATGAACACAGTTCTTACATGTGGTTATGAATGAATCGGTATTACAATAAGAAAAATTGTGCAAAATGAAAAGAAAAATATTTTTTGAGAGTTCTTATCAACTAACGTATATATAGTTTAAATTGATTCCACTAGATGTCGTTACTAAGTTTTAAAACGCGGTAACGAAATGTTTCCTGACATGTACTTAACTCTCGCCGTTGAGCCGCGCGTCAACTTATAGTGCATACGGTACTTATATGCTCAACTTGTTTCTATTTCGTAGCTTATTCGATGACATGCTTTCGATTTTAGTTGTTTGTTATTTGCTTTGTGATTTGGTTAAGGTTGAATGGATTTATATTGGCTATCGTTTTCGGATTTGTGTATTTTCTTGGCTCGGTTTTGTTGATTTGGTTGGTATTTCTTTATAAATACTTAGACTCTGGCTTTGATTTTAGATTTTGTTTATTTACAATCGTGAATTGATTTTCGTTCTTTTAGGTTGTTTAACAATATTTCAAAGGAACATTAATAGTATAGATAATATATACGGTACCTATACACTTATTTCTTTTTTTGTTGGTTATATTTATATTGACTACTGCTTTCGATTTCGGTTGTCTGCGATTTGGTTTAAGTTGATTCGATTTTTTTGGCTATCGTTTTCGGATTCGTGTTGTGTCTTGCATTGGTTTTGTTGTTTTGATTTTAAAAAATATTTAAAATGAATATTCTTTCCTTTTAGATATTTTGGATTTGCTTCTAAAAAAATATTTAAAAGGAAATTTAATTCCTTTTAGGTATTTTAACTTTTTTTTATTAATAGGTTTTTTTGTTACTTCATAATGCTTCGCAAACGTAAGTTCAGCCTTTCAAGAGTCTATCTTCTCATAGACAAGCGAAAAGATTAGCTCGATTGCTAGAATTTTTAGAAGACGCTGAACTGAGAAGGCAAGAACAAGCAGAGCGTCAGGCTGCTTTTAGAGCATCTGAGACACCTTCTCAACGTCAGCAAAGGCGTCTTGAATAGACGGAGCGTCAAGTTACTTTACGAGCTACTGAAACACC